GTTGTGTGATTGAGTTGTATGGTCTCTGGGGAAGAAAGCTGGGGAAGGGGTTTTGAGGATGTCCATTCAGTTAATGGGTCTGTTTCTTTGGAGAAGAGTATAGGATTTCCATTTTAGAAATTGAAGCTGACTCCTCATGCGCTGATTCTGATGGAATTTGATGGTCAGGAGGAAATGAGAAAGGACATTGTGGCATACTGGGTTAAGTGGATGGACTCTGGGGCCCACAGCCTGCCACTCCCCAGCTAATAACCTCAGGAAAACCACTTAACCCCTGTACCTCCATTTCCTCATCTGTAATGCTGCCGTAATAGTCCCACCTGATAGTATCACAAGGATTGGTGAGTTAACCCTTGACCAAAACTGGTGATTATGATGAATAGAGAGTGTAGTAAGGATTGGAGTCCACCAGTCAAGATGGAAACGAACTGGTGCTGGAGATAGGTCTCCCTGAGGCCCTTTCAGTCCGTGTTCTGATTTGTATATTTTATAAGGGATGAGGTTGCTGGGCCCCAGCTCAGCACAGAGCAATTGAGCCGATTGTCCTATGACAGGAGGCACCCAGGCAGCGGCAGGATCTGTGACACTCCAGTACCTTTTGTAGAATGTGATGAGTCCCCTTAATTCTGGATTTCTCTTTCGCTTTGGGCTCGGAGCATCTGCTTGTGGCTTTGTGGTAAAGCAGAAAGGGAGTCTGGTGTCAAGTTCAGGCTCAAGCCGTTAGCTGTGTGAACTTGAGTCAGTCACAGCTTCTGTGGGTCCGTTTCCTCATCTGTCATATTATATGTTGGTGGTGAGGTCATCATTATTAAAATCTCAAAGAGGAAATTGGGTGTGAAAGGGCTTTGTAGAAGGCAAATATACATATTTTTATTTTTAAAAAAAATATTTTTATTGATTTCAGAGAGGAAGGGAGAGGGAGATAGAAACACCCATGATGAGAGAGGATCACTGATTGGCTGCCTCCTGCATGCCCCCTACTTGGGATGGAGCCAGCAACCTGGGCATGTGCCCCGACCTGGAATTGAACTGTAATCTCCTGGTTCATAGGTCAGTGCTCAACCCTGAGCCACGCTGGCCAGGCGAAGGCAAATCTGTAATTTGTTTAAGTCATTAAAAAAAAACACCCCAACAGCTCATAAAAGAATGAATTCATTTTTATTTAGTTAATTTCTTAAAATTAATTAATTTTAATTAGTTAATTCAATATATTTAATCTCTTTTTGTTAGCTACATAAATTGATTCTGAAACCTTCCTATTAAATGATACATTGCATTTACATGGTTACTTGTCTATTTCCATTTTAAAAGTTTACATGTAATTTCATCCAAGTCCCATCTGATGATGTTGTCTTGTAACACTCTAAGAGTTCCTTTGGCTTCTCATCAGTTTGGCTTTAAGAAGAAAAAAAAAGTAGATGGGAAGATAGATGGCCAGGCCTTGATTACTCAGGCTCAGGGCTCTTGAGACTGGTTCCAGCTTGTCCTGGACCTGTGGGATGTTCTTAGCAGAAATGCCTCTCCCACAGGACAGTTTGAACCAAATGCTGGAAATTCCAGAGCTCTTAGCCGCTGAGTATCTCAAGAGAAATACTTGAAAATATGTAAAATCAAGAGAAATTTCCTTTTTCATCTTTTCAAACCTTTTCTCCCACTCCCATCATTTTAGTTTTGTGAGTGGTCACGTTCCAGGGTATCCATGCTGAGAGAAATTCTTATTTGATCCCTTTTTAAAATAGTCACTTTAAAAAAAAATTCTGTATTGATTAAGGTATTAAATATGTGTCTTTATCCCCTCTTTGCCCCCCCTTACCCCCCCACTCATGCCCTCACCCCCCTGGTGTCTGTGTCCATTGGTTAGGCTTATGTGCATGCATACAAGTCCTTTGGTTGATCTCTCCCCCTTACCCCCACCCTCCCCTACCTTCCCTCTGAGGTTTGACGGTCTGATCGACGCTTCTCTGTCTCTGGATCTGTTATTGTTCATCAGTTTATGTTGTTCATTATATTCCACAAATGAGTGAGATCATGTGATATTTATCTTTTTCTGATAAAATAGTCACATTTTTAAAGGATAAAATTAAGCATGAATACATATTAAATAACACTAGATATTCTAGATTCAATCATTCACTGGACAACTATTTATGGAGTACCCTCTATGTGCTCGGCGTGGTGCTGGGCACGGGGGATACCACAGCGCCAAAGGCAGGCAAAATCTGCCCTCACACACCTTCCTGTTTAGTACCTCCTCAGACATTAAATAAATTAACCCACAAAACAGATTGACAAGCCTAGTGTGACCAGTGCCTGGATGAAGAAGGATGGTGGGGGTTTAACTTAGATTGGAGGTGAGGGAAGGCTTCTGAGAAAGGCTATTGAAGCTGAGGCCTGAAGGGTGAGACGTTCATTAGGCAGAGGCCATAACAGGTGCTAGGGTCCCGCCGTGGGAAAGAAACAAGGACCCCTGTAGCTAGGCTTAGTGGGGGGATGGCATGAAGTTGGTTAGGAGGGAGGCATGGTCGTTAGGCACCTGGCTGATGCTTTTGGATTTTATCTTTAGCACCACTAGATTTGGTCATAGAAAGGAGTTCGATCAGGCTCCGTTCTCTGGAGGTAGAGTTTGCCAATCTAGAAGCATTGCTAACCCCAAATGAAGTGATGTCTGGGGCCATTTTTTAAACAAGGGGTGTGCTGTTCTTTAGAAAAAACTGAGATATACATGAAGTGATGTCAGATCAGTCTCCTCAGGAGAGGAATTCGTTTTCACTGCCTGTGCTGCTGACTCAGGCTGGTTCCACCACGCCGACTGAAGGAGAGCAGCCACGCCTGCCTGTGCGCATGTCTTTTCCCAGGGGCTGGGGGAGAAAAGGTCTGACCTTGGCCCTCTGGTAGATGGATGATGGGAAAGCCAGAAAGGAAGTTTCAGAGGTCAGGATCTCTGCCCTGGTTTCCACGTCCTGCTACATTCCAGGGGAGTTTTGCCTGGTACAGTCACAGCATGTCTAAGCCAGAAGGGACCTCAAGGATCAAGTCATCCACCTTTCATTTTATGGGGTCGGTGCTAATGAGGAGATGGACCACGACAGCACCAGCCACCTCGGAGGTGCCGGCCTTTTGAAACTGGCGGCTGAACCACACCAGCTATGGAGGCTTAGGGCTTGAGCCTTGTGTCTTGCTGTGGTGCCTGAAGGGCCTCTTACCTCTCGTTCAGCCTCACAGAGGCGCACGCGTCACAAGATCTTCGACAGTTGGCTCCCAGGTGTCCAGGGTTCTCTCCAAGGAGAGGCCACGACCTGTGGTCGCCGGGAGTCTGGGTGTGTTGCCATCACTCTGCTGCTGGGGGACGTGGAATTCTCATTATGAAAAGTATTTTTTAAGAAAATATTTTTATTTATTTTTAGAAAGAGAGGAAGGGAGAGGGAGAACAAAACATGCATCGGCTGCCTCCTGCACACCCCCTACCGGGGATCAAGCCCCAAACCGGGCATGTGCCCTTGACGGGGAATCAAACTGGCAGCCTTTTGGTGTACAGGACAACATCCAACCAACTGAGCCACACTGGCCAGGGCTTAAGGAAAGTCTTTTATGTCAAAGTCAAGGAATGACACTGGCCTGGTAGTAATAATTTTTAGTATAGAACCTAATAACAAAAAACTACGCTGAGCTTAGTACTACGTCATACTGAGTTTGTATTTCATTCGCCACACTACAGCATCTGTATTTACTTGAAAAATGGTTGGACATCTGTGTGTGAGGCATGATATTTTTTCAGTTCACATGTACTAGTCAGTAGGCAGATGGATTTTGATGACCCGTTGCAGTAATTGATTCGATCCCCCAAGCATTGGGGGGCCCAATAACTTGGAACCATTGGCTTAGAAGCATTGTCCTGCAGTAAAGCAGCCCCCTATAGGGGATGACCCTAATCATAGCCAACTTCTTGGGTGGGAGGAAATGAACCAGTGTAAATACTAAACCCACTCTACAGATTTAAAAATATTTTTATTGCCTTTTTGTTGTTAATCCTCACCTGAGGTTATTGTTTCATTGATTTTTAGAGAGAGTGGAAGGGAGGGGGAGAGACAAAGAGAAAATCCATGTGAGAGAGACACATCGATTGGTTGCCTCCCGCACATGCCCTGACCCCAGCTGGGGATCGAGCCTGCAACCGAGGTATGTGCCCTAGACTGTCCAACCTAGGACCCTTCATTCTGCAGGCCAATGCTCTATCCACCGAGCCAAACCAGCTAGGGCTATTGCCTTTTTTAATTACAAAAGTAATTCAAGCTCATTGTAAAAACCGGAAACATTACAGAAATGTATAACTGAACAATTTGGTGTGCAGTGTTCCAATTTGTTTCCATGCGTAAATAACATTAATTACTAAGGCTTTTATAGACACAGATGTTACTGTACATAATGTTCTCTAAGTGTGCGTGTTTTTAATGTAATGGGCAATTTATTTTAAGGAAGCAGCAAGGTTCAGTGGTCTGGTTTCAGGCTTTGAGTCCTAGCTCTGCAATAAACGAGTTGGATGACTAGTAGTAATACAGGGTGGGGTAAAAGTAAGTTTGTAATCATATGGAAAATAAGACAATAATTAATAAATAACAATATAAGAATAAACTGTATGTTTCACGTACTCACAACTGTCAGCCTCCATTTCCCCACCCTTATAGTAATATGCAAGTTGGGTGACCCCAGGTAAGTCTCAGATCTCTGTAAGCCTCACTTTTTAGGTCTCTAAAATGGGGACTGGTGTTTGTCCTTTCTCACGAGGTGGTTGTAAGGACCCCATGAGATAGTATAGAGAAAAGGACTTTGTGAACCGTAATGCATTCCACAAATATAAAGGTTTGTTACTATCGACACTTACGATTTTAGTCCCTTTCCTCTTTACATGCTTTGATCCACATCCGTGAATACTTAACCTGGTGATGGCTTACTCAGTGGTTGCCTTGGAGACGAGTAGTAACTAGCTCTTTCCCTTTTTCCAGGTTACTCCCGGAAGCAAGGCTGCTATAGCTAATTTATGTATTGGAGATATAATTACAGCCATCGATGGGGAAAATACCAGCAATATGACGCACTTGGAAGCTCAGAACAAAATCAAGGGCTGTGTAGACAACATGACTCTCACAGTATCCAGGTAAGGCTCAGGGAAACACCCATTCTTTTTGGATCCTCTGGAAGCTGACTGTGGCAAGGACGGCCTCTCCTATCTCAGAGTTCCTTACACCCCAGCTCAGTGCCATGTATCCATAGGCAGGTCAGAAGGTTTGTGGAATTGCTCTAGCCGGTTTGGCTCAGTGGATAGAGCGTTGGCCTGCGGACTGAAGGGTCCTGGGTTTGATCCCGGTCGAGTGCACGTACCTCGGTTGCAGGCTCCTTCCTGGCCCTGGTCAGAGTTCGTGCAGGAGGCAACCAAATCCTTGGGTGAGGATTAAAAAATAATAATTACAAAGGTCTGTGGAATTGGAATTTCAGTTGCTTATTTCCCCTCTAATTGTCATAGTGCTTCTTATATTGTGGGCGTCTTTCTGCATTTTTTTTGTTGTTGTTGTTGTTAATCCTCACCTGAGGATATTATTCCATTGATTTTTAGGGAGAATGGAAGAGAGAGGGAAAGACAGAGAGAAACATGGATGTGAGAGGAACATATCGATTGGTTGCCTCCTGCACGAGCCCAGACCAGGGCCTGCGCTGGGGAGGAGCCTGCAACCAAGGTACATGCCCTTGACTGGAATCAAACCCGGGACCCTTTGGTCCATAGGCCGACGCTCTATCTACTGGGCCAAACCAGCTAGGGCTCTGCATTTTTACTTGATCCAGTACCGCTTTGAGGAACTAGGATCGTTAACTATTGCCAAGTATAATGAAATGAAAACTTCATGGAAACCATTGAGAATCTGCTCAGGATGTGGCTCCTGCCACACCAGGCCGAGCAGTGGGTACTACGCCAGGGGATTACAGTGACAGGGAAAGATAGCAACCCGCCAGGCAGAGCGCTGAGTGTGTGTTCAGGGACACAGCAAGACAGGAGAGCTGCCTGTTCTCAGAGGCTGGTGAGTGGGGAGTGCGCACCGGGAGTGGTGATTGGGGTAGAATTCCCGTTCTTTTGTTGAGTCTTGGAAGGAAAAAGCATGATTTCAGAAGCGATTTGATTCAACCTTGATGGCTCCGTATTTCCTGTTGGATCAAGTTCCCATTCTTCATTCTGATTTGTTATGTTACCTGCTCTTTAATGTCTCATTAACCTTAGCTCTTCATCACGAACCCTTTGCTCAGGCTCTCATCTGTGAATAGGTTTTTGGCTTTCTTCTACCTGCACCACAAGACTGGTGGGAGTACCAAGTGCGGGGCAGGATAGCTAAAATTCTGTACACTTCAGTGCCCTATCCTCATGGGAGGTACACATTTTATGACCTCACCCTTCAAAAGTTCATTTACCCCCTCATTCTCTTTTCCATTTCTCCCTCAGTCCAAATCTTCTCCTTCAAGCCTTAGTTTGACATTCACTCACTTATTTATTAACTAGGGGCCCAGTGCACGAATTTGTGCCCCTTGAAAGGAACTGTGGGCTGTGAGGCTGTGGTGGGCACAGGGGCAGGTCTCGGCCCATCCTCTGTGCCCCTGCCCGGCCCCTCCCGCCACTGCAGCTCCCATGTGCCGATGGTGCCAGCCTTGCTCACACGCACTGATGGTGCAGAGCAATTGGGGCTGGTGCCAGCAGTGGGTGTGAGCGGGGCTGGCACTGTCACCGGGTGCGAGCAGTGGCTGCTGCCCTGATTGCCCCTCAGGAGCAGGGGGAGGTGGAGAAGCCCTGAGGGGCGATCGGGGCCGGCAGCCGCTGCTTGCACCCACTGACAGCGCTGAGCAGGACCGGCGCCAGCGCCAGCAGCAGGTGCAAGTGCCTGGCAGGACAGTGGTGCACAGGAACAAAGAATTTTCAGTAACCACCAGAGGCTTGTCCCGATAACAGTGACCGGCACCCCACCTTGGTCTGGTGCCCCCGCTTACCTGCTCCACCATTCTGCCGCGTCCGATGCCCACCATGTTTTGCTCATGCCCCCTGATGGTCAGCACATGTCATAGCAACCAGTTCAGTTGTTCTACCGTTTGGTCTATTTGCATATTAGGGTTTTATATATATAGATAGTTTAATTGATTTTTGACCTATTTACCAACCAATTGAAACAGATTTTACTTCTCTGCTTGAGTAAAATAATTGTACTGTGCTAGGCACTCTGACAGTACAAAGATAAGTAAAATATTCTCTCCCCATAAGAGAGAAAAAAAACCTACACTAATGAAAAATGAGACCAGACTGAGATTACAATTGGTACAAAGAAATCCTTTGCAAACTCAATAAAGAAGGCATCGCTTTTATTGGGTCCAGACAAGCTTCAGGAATAAGTTGGTTAGCAGGTTGGCTCGAGAACACTGGGAGAGAGAAAGGAGATGCTCGTTCTGTTCTGAGCAGAGGTGGGCAGCATGAGGCATGCTCAGGAGCAAGGAGGAGGTCAGTGAGGCTGAGGGACAGCGAGACAGAGGGTAGTGAGGGAGGTCGAGGCTCGCAAAGTCCCAGCAGCTGGAAAGCCCCTCAGGGCTGAGCGTGGGCAGCTATCAGACACGATGTAATCAGACTTGGTGCTTTTGAAAGATCACCCTGGTGGCTAAGTGGAGGGGAAGGCGGGTGGCGGGTGCTGGTTCAGAGCCTAGGAGTCAGGCAGGAGGGCGCATTTTCCCATTCTGCTTCTGGTGTGTATTATTTACTTAGCGTGCATGAAAGAACAGCTTTGTCCATCTCTTGCAGATCTGAACATAAAGTCTGGTCTCCTCTCGTGACAGAGGAAGGGAAACGTCATCCGTACAAGATGAACTTAGCCTCTGAACCGCAAGTAAGTACTTGTCCTCCACTGCCACTGCTCGCACGACCCAGCAAGACGACGCCCGTGCTTTCCTGCCTGGGAGGCCCGGAGATCAGGGGGCAGGGAGAGCCCTCCACTGTCCGTGCTGGGTCCTGGCTCCGGTTCAGCTCTTCCCGTAAGGGAACTGCAGGAGGAAAGGGCTGGAAAACCCCAAGGCTGTGACACTGGCCTGGGCTGGAAGCTGGGGGTAGGAAGGCATTACGGGAAGTGGGTGGAAGCCTTCCTGTGCAGAATGGGGTGGCGGGACCATGTAAAAGCAAGGAGCTGACTCAACTCACTGTGGATGTCAGAGACAAATGAATTATGCTGGGGGTGAAAGTAAGTTTGAGTCTCGAGGCCTGGACGCTAGAGGAGCTTAAGGGGAAGGTCTGTAGTAAGCTCTGCTTCTCTCCTGGTTTCCCACTAATTCCCATGATCCTTAGGGTGCAGGTCTTTTTGTTACAGTGAGACTTCTAGTGAGACCTTAAAATTACTAAAATGCAGTGGTAATTCACAGTGAAAATTGTGATAGGGAGTTAATGCACAGTGTGAATTTCCTGGGAAAGTAGACTGTCCCACCCAGCTGGCATGGCTCAGTGGTTGAGCATCGACCTATGAACCAGGAGGCCACGGTTGCACTCCTGGTCAGGGCACATGCCTGGGTTGCGGGCTCGATCCCCAGTGTGGGGCGTGCAGGAAGCGGCTGATCAATGATTCTATTCTCTCTCATCGCTGATGTTTCTCTCTTTCCCTCTCCCTTCCTTTAATCAATAAAAACATATTTAAAAAAAGAAAGTAGACTGTCCTAGGATCCCATATTTATAAATAATTCTCAGTATTTAGAGTATAGGTGATTTATTACTTCCTTAATTACATCTTCTAAATAAGCTACAGTGAATGGGCATTCCTTTTTAAATAAGGGAAAAAACTTAAAGAAGAAAGTTTAGGACAGTAAAATTCCATAGACTCAACATATGTTTTTCACAAATATGTGTCTATTGGATAAATAATGAATTATTAATGATAAGTTCATAAGTAAATTGACAACTGCTTTTAAAAACTTCTTTTAGACCACTTTGTGATTGTTATCGATTTAATCCCAATTGAAGATTTGAACTTCAATTTTTTTTTTAAATTTGGGGTGCTAATTTTTATGGTGAATTGAGATGTAATAAAAAAAAAATAACGTAGCCCTAACTGGTTTGGCTCAGTGGATGGAGCGTCGGCCTGCGGACTGAAAGGTCCCAGGTTCGGTTCCAGTCAAGGGCATGTACCTTGGTTGCAGGCACATCCCCAGTGGGAGGTGTGCAGGAGGCAGCTGATTGATGTTTCTCTCTCATCGATGTTTCTAACTCTCTATCTCTCTCCCTTCCTCTCTGTAAAAAATCAATAAAATATATATATTTTTAAAAAATAAAAAGAAAAGGAAAGAAACACTATTTGATTACAATAATCCCTTAAAAAAAAAAGATAATGTAGCTAGCTAGCTTTCATACATGAACCAGGAACTTGTATGAAATTGAACTCCCTGGGTGCATTAGCGTGGGTAAATGGAGTGGTTCCATGTAAGCAATATTGTCTCAAAAGGCTTCCATTTAAAATGTCAGAAATCTAATCACAAAACTTTCCCTATTAATATGATAAAAATCATACTTACCAGTCCTCTAAGAGTCACAGTAAGGACCACTTTGCATCTGAGATTTCTAAACGGACAGGAACCTGCTGCTCTGGGCAGCTCCTGTGAGGGCAGCTCATGGCATGGGCTCCGTCTGCGAACTGGCAGTTGTGCAAACTAATTGAAAACACGCCACAGTTCATTCCAGCCGCCCAGGGAGTTCCAGCCACTTCATTAAACTCACTGTAAATGCTACGCTTTAATGTGTTAAATCTCATACATTCTATAAGACAGAAGGAATGATTTTGTTTTAATTTGGTCTGTCTAAAATCCTAGTTTTCACTTAAAGTAATACTTAAATTTCAGTTGTATTTTGGTATGTATGATACTTGAATTTGCATTTTAAACATATAATCTGGTTACCTGTATTCATTTTTAAAATATTTATTTATCTATTTATTTGAGAGAGAGAGAGAGAGAGAGAGAGAGAGAGAGAGAGAGAGAGAGACATCAGCTTGTTGTTCCACCTACCCATGCATTCATTGGTTCCCTCTTGTAACCTGACCGGGGATTGATCCTGCAGCCTTGGGGTATCTGGATAACATGCTAACCAACTGAGCTACCCAGTCAGGGTTGTATTAAATATTTTGAAGGTAGTTCTCATCAGATTAAAAAATTTTTCAAATACTTTAACTTCTAACTTGAGTATATTTTTCTTCTGATTCTAGTAATTTTTTGTTCATATGAAAAATTTGCCACTTTTCATTTTTTTCATTCTCTACTTCCATTCGTTCTAAAATAGAGGAGTGAGTAGGAGCAGAGTTCACCTATACTTAAAAGATCTGTTAGTTCATATAAAGCCAGCCAACACCCCAGCTTATCTGAGGTCAGAGCAGTTACACACCTACTTTATATTTCCTCATTATTGAGTTTCCTAGGCAACTGATAAATACAAAGCCCAAACAATTACATCATCCCTTCCAAAAGGCAGGCCCTGAATTAACCGCCTGACTTCTGGAAAGACCAGTATTCACATGGGGTTACAGATACTCCTTTTATATACAAAACAGATATATTCTTGGAAGATTCACTCTAAAGGGAAAACCAGAGTTTCCAACCTGCATTTTCTACCGACTTCCATTCGAATGGAAGATGTATTTCTATGGAGGGGGGGGGACACTGGTTGCATGTCTCTGTGTGCCAGGCACTGTGCTTGGCACACTAAGATTTCACACCAAGTCCTTGCGAAAGTGGCTTTATTACTTCATTTTAAAGACGAGAAATGAGCTGAGAAAGAGGTATAACTTGCCCAAAGCTGAACAGGAAGCAACAGGGAAAAACTGAGCTGAGACAGAAAAATAAGGGCTCTTCCCTGGTGCTCAGCATCCCGGCTGCTCCTTGGAGTTGCTGTGGAGATGCTGAGAGGAGGGAGGAGTTGCCCTCCTGGCTACAGCTGTGGTCTCCCCGCAGTGCTGGAGTGCAGCCCCGGTCACGGGCCCAAGTCCCAGGCCTCCCAGGCCTCCCGTCTGCTCGTCTGCTGCCGTTAATGACTACATATTATTTCTTGGATGAGTGGTGCCGTACAATCTACTTAACCATTCTTTGATTAGTGCTAACGTTATTTTTTCAGCTAATTATACTTACTTCCCCTTTTGTGAACCGTCTGTGTGCAGTTAACTTCGGGCCAATGGGGACAAAGCGAACTCAACGTCATTTATACAGTTAAAACCTCACTGATGCTGACCTGTCGGATAGTGTCGTCTTCTCTTTTAAATCGGTGCCCAGGAGATGAAGCTGCTACTTTTCGTCATAACGTTTTCTGAGAAAGTGTGAAAGACTTAAAGGTTTAGCAAAAAAAAAGAGAGAAAAAGGAAGAGCAATAAAGGACAGAAACTCTTTGGGGTGGGGGGGGGGAGGGCAGCTGCTCTAGGCCTGGGTGTTAAGAAAGAGACCAGGGGGGTTCCAGAAGATTTCTGGGGAATCCCGAAAACAAGACCCAGCTGACTTTAGTAGGTTGCACAGAGCGTTCCGTTGCCTTGGAGGCAGGGAGACCCCAGATCTGGGTAGAGAGCACCTTGCTCACTGAGTCATCAGAAAAGCCGGGATTTTAAAAAAAACACACGTTAGTTTTCAAATGTTTGGCTGTTTGTACCGAAGCTCTGAGGTGTAGCTGTAGTAATTACCCATAACTCCTGACAAGCCAGCGTCATGGTGGAGGGCGCTTTCTCAAATGACGGAAGGAGGGGAACGGGCCCAGAAGGAACCAAAGTCTGTTCCTGCAGCTCCCCTGGGCACCGCCCCTGCGACAGGTAGCCCCAGCCTTGATCTGATCGGCCCTGTCCTTCCACGAGAAACCACGGATTCTGGGGTTTCTCCAGCCCCCTTCTGCGGGAGCGCCCAGGCCATCTCTGCCCCGTGTCACCACAGCCCTCTTATCTTGCTTGTCTAACCCTCTCTGTTCTGGGAACTTTATCTCCACCTTTTAGCACCTCTTGCTTTGCACTGGCCCAGAAGTGACTGCCTGTTCTTGGCCTCCTGGTACCTGAGTCCCCCCGGAATGTGCCCTGGGAGGGTGTTTCAGCTTCAGGGCACCCGGGGTGTCCTGCCCTGGGCTCCCCATCAGGAGGTGAGCTTCACTGGCCTCAGGGGAGAGCCAGACGGCGGAGCTGGCATGTGAACCTGTCCGCGTGCCCAGCTTGTGAGAATCCTGGCTGTTGCCCACGGCTAGTGGGTACATTGGGGCCCCTCAGCTGAAGTTTGGCGTTGAGCCAGGGCCTTTGGCGCTCATGGAACACCTGTCTCCCTCCCTCGGCCGGCACTGTCCATTGAGAGGGTATGTAGGATGCCCCCGCCTTGATTTCTCCTCTGATCTCCGCCTGCAGGAGGTCCTGCACATAGGAAGTGCCCACAACCGGAGCGCCATGCCCTTCACCGCCTCGCCTGCCTCCGGCTCTGCCCCCAGGGTCATCACAAACCAGTACAACAACCCCTCCGGCCTCTACTCCTCTGAAAACATCTCCAACTTCAACAGTGCCTTGGAGGCAAAGACGGCAGCCGGTGGACCAGAGACGAACGGCAGAGGGTGAGTGGGCTCCTGAATTCTCCTCTCGGCCAGGCCGGGGCTGGACAGGCAGGTGGGGGCAGGTTGAGCCGCGGGCCCGGGGAGAAAAAGGTTTACTTCAGCACAGTTCGTTCTGCCTGCATTCTCCTCATCTCTGTAAAGGAGGTAATGCTACCTGCCTCGTAGGGCCGTTGTAAAAATAAGAAGCAACCCGTGAAATGCCAGGTATTGTGTCTGGCGCAGAGTAATCCATTATTCGCTGAGATCTATGTCATTGTCTTGATATCTCTGGCCCCACTCCCTCCTTGGCAACTCCGCTGCTTCCTGAGAAATTCTTCAGTATTTACAGTGGGGCTTTCTGCTGTGTTCACCATCCAGTCCGAGCAAGGGAGAAGTACGCCATGATGCAAGTTTTGGTTTGCCTTTTCCCTGAGTGGCCAGTAGAAATAATAGAAAGACAGGAAGTCTGTGAGGATGTAAACGTGTGAGGATACAAAGGTTTGCCCAGGGCCGGGGTGGGCTGCAGGTGTGCAGCGTGGAGCGGTCCCAGGAAGCATCTTGCTCAGTACGGGGGAGGTGTGTCCCTTCCTGTCACTGACCATTGGGCCACAGCTGCCTCTCTGTCTCTGTTCAGCAGAGGGCGCCCAGGATCTGCTCCATCCCAAACGCTTTGAGGATGAATCCAAACACTGGGAACACCACAGACTGTGGCGAAGAGTGGGTTTAAGGATGGAGAGTAAGAGATGGGACCAGTTTTCTGTGGGTGAAAGGGCGATGGACTACGTCACCAGTTGCCATGTCAGATACCCAAAGGTGGCAGAGGCGATAAGGACACAAGGGCAGAGCTGTGAGTGCCGACGGGAGCAGAGTGCCCCGAGGCGGCTGGCCCGTGCACGCCCCATCCAGAGGGGAACCACTCCTTGGCTCCAGCCTGTCCCCACATGCTGGCCTTGGAGCCTCATTTTTGCTGATTAGTTGCAATGGAACGGAAGTCTAAATGCCTCTTTTTATCTGAAATTTCCTGATCTTTAATGTTGGTGACAATCAAAGTTGTTGGAAAATATGTGTGGTCCAGACTTGTCTGATCTCTGAGGATGGAGTGGAATCCGCCGTTCTTGTGTTAGCTCTGAACCCGTTTCGTTGTTCAGTGTCTCCCCGATTCACCTTTAATAAGAACCTGCCCAGCTCTGAGGGTGATTACATTGCAAGTCCATTGCTTCAAATGCCGGGTAGGAGACGTTAAGGCACAAGAGGTTCCAAGCGACTTCAGTGTTTGGAAAGGGCTGTGTGGGGCCTCTTGAGGGCTCCTTGGCCGTATCACCCGTGTAGTTCCCCTTTCTCTGAAGAAGAGCCAGATGCTATTGGGCAACCGCTGCACGCAGGTCTCCCGTGCCCGGCACCGAGAGGCACTGCGAGTTCCTTTCCAGTTTCTTAGCGTCCAGCCGGGGGGGACTTGGCTCTGTGACTTTGGCTTCACCAGCTGTCCCTGCAGTCATTGCAGTAACCACGGCAAAATGGCTACTGATGCTTCTTCCCCAGGTTCTGATTCCTGCAGGGCCTGCTGGCTTGAGATGATGATGTCCTTTGGGGTGACGGGGGGGAGCTTTTGGGGTACCCGAGACAGAGAGCATGCTGGGCCGCCCAGGCTTTCCACGGGCACACACTGAAGGGCGCTTTCTCTCCAGCAGCTCGGGGGGAGCTGAGTGGTGGCAACACCCTGGCCGTGATTGCTCCTCTTTGCTGCCTTGGTGCTGGGGGAGGCTGAGAACGTGACCTTCCGTCACTGTCCCCGAGTGGAATGTTGCCTGCTCTGGAGTCAGTAACCCAGGAAATGACACATCCTAATTGAAAGAGCTGCTATGCACGGGGAGGAATATGTGCCTGGGAGGTATTTTTAGTATGGCTCTGGCCGTTACTCCTTCATTAATGTCTCCTTTCTTCCTCTCTCATGCTCCCCGCCTGCTCCCTCCCTCAGTCTGAAACAATTAGGTCTGAGACTGTCTGGACACTGTGCAAGCCTTCCCTCCAGCCCCTGTCCCCTCCGGTCGAAGACTTGTTGGCTGCAGTGGCCTCTGAGCCTTTATCCAAAGTCACCTTTCAGATTTCCTCGCCAGAGGGGCCCAGGTCCCACTCCATCCCAGACTCTGAGGATGAATCCAGAAACTGGGAACACCAGGAGCTCACGGCCCAGAAACCGCCCGGACAGGCTGTGCTGCCTGCCTGTGGGGTCTCTGCTTACCGGCCTGTTGCTAGAGCGGCCCCTGTGCACCCCCAGCCAAGGAAGGCGCCCCTTGCTTTTCTCCCCAAGGCTAGCCGCCCGCCCACCCCCCACCTCCGCCATTTAGTCTGTGAAATCCTGAGGTTCCAGAATTGCTGCTTCATACTTGGCATCTGAGGTCATCCCTGACCCCTTGGGGCTGACTGAGTTTCTTTGTCCCGTGCACTTCAAAGCGGCCGTGTGTGTGTGTGTGTGTGTGTGTGTGTGTGTGTGTGTGTCTGGTAGGATGTCCCAGGGCCATGTCCCCATCAGACAAGAACACAGACGACATTGTCATTTCCCAGTTTAACTGGGAAGGCAGACGCGGGGGACCCGCCGGTCCTCCCAGCACACGCGCAGCTGCGTGGGAGGGCCGCTGGATCTGTTCAGTTTAACAGTTATTTAGTGAGCGCCTCCTGTGGGCGCAGGAAATACTGCTCTGTCTGGCATTTCACCTGCCATCTGACCTCTTTGAACTGAGTTTACGGGCTCTCGGGTCATTTTGTGATGATTTGGGGCCTAGATTTCATTATCTATGTCAGGGCTGGGGGACGTCCAGCCCGAGAAATCATTTGGTCTGGCCCTGCCAAGGCATGAGGGGTGAGTATATGAAATGTTTGACCAAATATAGCAGGCCAGTTTTTAAGTCGGTACTCGAGAATGATGTTATAAATATCCAAATGGCCCTTGGCAGAAAAAAGGTTCCCCACCCTTGATCTATGTGATGGTGCTGGATACTTTCCTAAAGGTACAGGCTGTGTAGATAGCGGGGCCTGGGCTCCCGTTCTAGCTCTGCCTCTTACTAGCGGTGTGATCGCCGGCAAACCAGAAAGCTTCCCTGAGACTTCGTCCTCTTCCCATGGAGTGCGGGTCATACTAACGATCCCCCGGTTACTGAGAGAACGAAGTGCGATGCGTGAGGAGCGCTCACGTTGGTGCCTGGCCCCTGGCAGGTGCTCAGTTACTACTGATTTCACTGCCCGTGAGGAACTCCACGCCCTTCACTCCGGAGCCCAGGGGCTTCCCCCAGAAGAGCAGAAGCATGTAGATGGGCGTCATGGAGAAGTCACATTTCACTGTGACTTACGATAAGCTTCTTTCTTTCCCGGCACCGCAGCTTAAGTTCAGCCCACCAGTGCGGCTCGTCACCGTCCTGTGTATCGGTGGCCCCTTCATGAAGTAATCGGTTGGGTTCCCATAACCAACACGACTGTCTCAAGATACTACTTCCAAATTGTGTTTTCAGGCAACCCTGCCATATACTCACCAGGCGGATTTCTAAGCAGGTGCAGAGGAAATAATGAGATGCATTGTTCTATTCAGCTGATAGGCAGGATTATGTTAGGCCTGACTCACTTGGAGCTGAACCAGCTCCGTCAGGAGGCGGCTGTTGGCCCCTCCAGCTAAACTGCCCGCAGCCACAGAGACCGGGTGTTCCTCCGCCTTCTCCCGGGCCCATAATTACTCCTCTGGTTTCTTATTACAGGCCCAGCATTTAGGCCTTTGAAGACTAAAACTTAGGCCAGTGATGGCGAACCTATGACACGCTTGTCAGAGGTGACACGCGAACTCACTTTTTTGGTTGATTTTTCTTTGTTAAATGGCATTTAAGTATATAAAATAAATATCAAAAATATAAGTCTTTGTTTTACTATGATTGCAGATATCAAAAAATTTCTATGTGTGACACGGCACCAGAGTTAAGTTAGGGTTTTTCAAAATGCTGACACGCCGAGCTCAAAAGGTTCGCCATCACTGCCTTAGGGAGCATTCTGACCTGGCTCCCCTTCTAAACACGAACTGCACTTTTTGTGAACATTGGGTGACCAGGGTATCCCATGCATGAGGATTTATCCGAGTCAGTGTACTTCTTTACCTGAACCTGCATGAAAATCAGGCACTAACATTTCCAATTAGCACTTTGGGGGATAGTTAGTATTATCTGCACAGCATTTGGGGAAAGGATTCTTAAAATGAATTAAACTTTTTATTATTTTGGTGTAATTCACTTGCACTTACAGGAGATAATAGCAAGGATCCCTGCACCCTTTACCCAGTTTCCCTCCATGGTAACGTCTTGAAAACTATAGCACAACAAAACTAGAATACTGACATGAATAGGTCAAGATAGAACATGTCCACCACCTTAAGGATTCCTCAGGCTGCTCATTCATAGCCACACCTGCTTCCCTCCTATCCCTGCACCCTCCCAACCACCCCCGCTTGGCAACTCACTAATCTGCTCTCCATTTCTATCGTTTTGTTAGCTCGAGAATGTTATACTGATGGAATCATATAGTATGTAACTTTCAGGGATTGGCTTTTTATTACTCAGCATAATTCACTGGAGATTCATTTCTTGAGATTTTTAAAAATAATTTAAATATATATATTTTTTATTGATTTTAGAGAGAAAGAGGGAGGGAGGGGGAGAGAGAGAGAGAGAGATACATACATCAATGATGAGAGAGTCATTGATTGATTGGCTGCCTCCTGCACACCTCCTACTAGGTATCGAGCCCACAACCCAGACATGTGCCCTTGACTGGAATAGAATTTGGGACCCCTCAGTCCGAAGGCTGACGCTTTATCTACTGAGCCCAACCAGCTAGGGCTCTTGAGATTTTTGAAATGTATCATTGGTTCCTTTTTTTCTGTTCTGAGGATTTATCTTTTTTTATTGTTTGGTTAAAAACACATAGCGTAACATTCATCATCTAAAACATGTTTTTATTAAGAGAGGAAGGGAGAGGGAGGTAAACATTGATCAGCTGCCTCCTGCATGCCCCCTACTGGGGATTGAGCCTGAAACTCCAGGCACGTGCCCTGACTGGGAATCGAACTGGGGACCTCTTGGTTCATGGGGTCAGTGTTCAACCACTGAGCAAACACGGGCTGGGCAGTATGGATATTTTATTGGACATTTTAATAACATTAACTTTTCGAGCAGGCTGTGTGTCATGCAAGGCTGCAGGCTAGGCCTCTGAAATCTTCCTCTGGAAGCCAGCTCAAGGGAGTTTCTTCTTACATTCTAAATACCACTGGCATCCTGAAATGCCTGGCGGTGTCAGCCACCTCCACAGGCTGGGAGTGGCCTGTCCGTGATGTCCCTGGGGAGACAGGCCCTACGGTCAGGGCCTAAAAGAGTAGGAGAAAATATTCAACATTTAGGTAACTAAATGCACCACATATGAGTCAGCACCAAATATGACTCAGGAAGAAACAAGGGCTAGGAAACACAACTGTAACGTGTAGTTGCTCCGAAGAAGTTGAAATTATTAAACTTGTATGTTGCTACTACAATTGGAAGGATTGGGTTTAGAAGAATGTGGTGACTCTTGGCATCCCACCCCTACAAGTTTTCTTTCCTCCTGGTGACTCAGTCATGCATATGATATTTTTGAAACCTTATCACTATGGAATTCTTTCCTTCAATGCTGTTACTATATATAAAAGTGACAGTACTTTCCCCCCCTGCATTTCTAATGTGTATTTTTGTCCTGGAAGTATTTTTTAAGATATTGTGAAGTCATTTATGAATATCTCCTAGTCTGATGTCTAAGACTTAGACTTTGTGTCTTAGGATACTATTTCTGAATTAGCTGTATATCAGTGCTTCAAATAAGGTAATGGATATTGGAAGTGCTTTATAAATTGTCAAGCGGTAGGAATATATTACCATTATTTGAGAAAAACTGTAAATTGTTTTCCCTTTTTTTAATCCTGGGAATGCTTTGCAGGACTGTTTGCTGGGAGAATATGTGATGACCTTGTGGTTTGGGTTCTGTCGTTTTTAGCGTTCCCTCGGCGGCTTCCAGACATAACAACATACACCCAAGGAGGGGGAAAATTCTCCCTAAGCACATTCCATGGTCTGATCTTGATTTTAAAATAGTCCTACATGTAAGAGAAAAAAGATTCACCAAAAATAATATAATACATTTATTATAGGGCAAGCTCAGAACTCCAGACCCAAAGAAAGAGTGAGGCATAGAGCTCGAACCTCGGTGCTGATAGGTGGGCCAGAGGAAGACATGGCTCCTGGTTAAAGCTATTCTTCAAGGTGGCCCTTGGGAGGCTCCCACAGTTCCCTGCGGTGGGAGGGACAGGCAAAGGCAGGGACCATGGCAGCCAGCAGGAGTGACCAGCTGATGAGTCTTTCTTCTTAAATCCTGACCTTACGTGGCATCAGCAAAGCATGTGTCATTGCTTGAGGGCTTCGTCCTCTATCGTGAGAGCCTGATTGTAGTCAAAGGGGTAACCTGGGGTTTCGCTGGAGCAGGTGACGCCGCTTCCAGCCGGACATGAGCATCCAGTGCCCCAGGAGGCTGACGGATAAGGGAGGGAGGGGGCCGGTAACTTGGGGAGGATGGCCCAGGAAACATATACCTCCGTTTTCTTTTTAAAATGGAATGTGAAATAACTACTCCATGGGTAGGAAATGAGTGAGTAGAACATAATCACTGTAATTCATTTGCATGTGTAACCATGGCCTCAGCCCTAAGGACAAGGTGGTTAGATTCGCTGAGAAACGGTTGGCAGCCACGGCCTGCGTCTGCCTGCATCCTTACCTGGGAGACAGCCTGGTGGGCTGGATGGCGTGTGGTTCGTTACTCACGAACTACAGCTGCTCACATACTTGTTGCGTGGATAGATTGCACCACCTCTGGTATTTGCTCCTGGCTCCCTGGGCACACTGTCCCTTTACCCTCGGAGTTGGCAGCTTCTGAAAAAGCATCTGTGGCTGAGCGGCAGGAGGTGCTCTGTTTAGAGAGGAAAGCAGAGCCACGTCTTTCAGGGCCTTTTGTGAACATTTACTCCACAGGAGATGCATTTGATTAAATTTGTATTTTGTTACTAAAACTACGTATGTGGTCCTAAGTCGGATGAGAACACTTGAGCCACATCTCAACAGTCTGATTCCTGTGTTTAAAATACCACGGTGGCCCAGAGCTGGTGTGGCTCAGTGGTTGAGTGTCGACCTATGAACCAGGAAGTCACGGTTCGATTCCTCGTCAGGGCACAGGTCTGGGTTGCGGCCTTGATCCCCAGTAAGGGGTGTGTAGGAGGTAGCCAATTGATGATTCTCTCTCATCATTGATGTTTCTATCTCCCTCTCCCTTCCTCTCCGAATTCAATTTTTAAAAAATTATTTAAAATACCACTGTGGCCTCTGGTTGAACACAGGACGAGGGACAAGTTGCAAGGCGGGTCCATTGTGCTGCTGTGCGGTGGTGTGGCGTGGGCATGCGGTGGGGGTGGGGTGGGGGTGCTGGGAGGCCTGGGATCAGGACAAATGTCAGGTTAAGGGGACTGAGTCCCCCCCCTCTTCTAACTCAGAGGCTCCTCCCTGGAAAATGGGCCCTGGGGGAAGGAGCCCCCAGCCCCGCCTGTCTCATCCTGTCTGGGGAACCTAGGAAGACCAGGAAGGTGCGGGAGGCAAGGCTGGCTTGCTCAGTCCCTGGGTCTGCGCTGAGGCCTCTGCCCCCTCCTTGCAGCAGAACAGAACTTGACAGTTTACAAAGCCCTGGGGTTTTTCATCCTCAGGGCCAACCCTGTGGGCGGGGCAGGGCAGATGCTGTTGTCCTGTGTTGTGGGCGAGGAGACCAGGAGACCAGAGCCGCTTGCACGAGAGGTATGAGGGTTCAGGGAGGCAGCAGCAGGCTGCTGTCCTTAGGAGTCCGGGCACTGCGATTTCTGCTGGTGAGGGAACACGTGGCCTGTGCTCAGGGACCCGCTGGGGTTTCAGTGGTCAGGTCGCGGTTGACTTTTTCCCGTTGCTAAATTTTCTCTTGGCATAATGTTGTTTATGTAATTTAGAAAGAAGCAAAACATTCCCATTCCATGGGATTAGGCCAACATGTAATTGAGTGACTAAAACTCTTTTGAAAAATAGCTCCTGACGGCATTGAAGCAGCAGCCAGCTCTGGCTCCGGGCACCTCGCAGTGTCGGCAGGAGGCCGCCTTCTTCCGTCAGCTTGGGGCCCACCCACCCTTTGGTTCAGGGGTGTCCTCCCTTGGAAGGGGGTGCCTGGGGAGCTTTTTTTAACTTCTGACTTGTCTTAATGAATTTCCAAACATTCTTTACAGCTTAGAGCATTCTCAGTCTCCAAGCGGACTCGTCATCGACAAAGAATCCGAAGTTTACAAGATGCTTCAGGAGAAACAGGAGTTAAATGAGCCCCCGAAACAGTCCACTTCATTCCTGGTGTTGCAGGAGATCCTGGAATCGGAGGAGAAAGGTAATCAGCTCTGCGGGTGGCCAGCGGCTCTTGTTCAAGGCCCAGGGCGAGGGCCAGTCATCCAGTCATTGTGCCAACAAAGGTGACTGCAGGGTGCCCCCCACCCCACCCCACTGTGGAAAGAGCACAGTGTGCTTTGCAAGGCGTGACTTTTAAGATCCTAAAAGCTGGGAGAGGAGAGGAGAAGTGAGGAGAGAGAGAGAGAGAGAGAGAGAGAGAGAGAATATGAATGAGCTCCCACCACACCTAGCCCAGCTGTTTCCTGTCACAGGAGCATTAGGGGTCAGCGTTAGGAGGCTGTCTGCTGCATTGGGAACCCCTGATGAGGGCTCCTGTCATTCAAGAAGGCTCTGGTTGGTGAAGCAGCACTGCAGGGTAGACAGGACTTGCACCCGGGACCCGCCCTTGGCCCACTGTGAGACCTCTAAGCCCTTGCTTCCGCACGAAGGAAACAGCACATGGTCAGGTGCCAGTGCAGTCACCGAGGTCCCCACGGGTGTGCAGCAGGATTTGGTGATAACTCCAAGGACTTGCAATGGGTCTTCTCATTTTGAAGTGTGCAGTTCAGAGGCATTAAGTGCATTCATACTGTGCTGCAGTCACCCCCATTCATCACAGAACTCTTCATCTTGCAGAACTGAAACTCTGTGCCCATGAAACACTAACTCCCCAGTCCCTGGGAACCACCGTTCTGCTTTCTGTTTCCATGACTGTCTCAGGGGTTTCCTATGAATGGAATCAAACCATATTTGTCCTTCTGTGACTGGCTTATTTCACTCAGCATAACGTCCTCAGGGTTCATTCATGTTGTAGCTTGTGTTAGAAGGACCTTGCTTTTCTTTTCATTATTATTACTAGTAGCCCTGCGCACGAATGCTTGCGCCAGTAGGTCGCTGCTGCCCTCCTGTAGTTCCCCCTCCCCCCCTCATAGCTTGCTGCCTTGCCCCCTCCTGTAGCTCTCCGAAGCCTGCTTGTGCCTCGTGGCCCACCCTCCTGCTGACCCATGATCTGGTCGTGATGCACTTGGAGTTACGCCTCAGGGTGCTCTCTCTCTAACGTTCCAATGATAAATATCCCAAGTTCAGGTATAAATAAAGCAAGATAGAGGGGATTGATCATCTCACATGGCAAGGAACCAGGTAGAGATCAAAAGGCAGGTAGGATAGCACCTCTTTGTCTCCCTGGGAGTCATTAGATTTATCCAGGACTGTGCCCTTAACAGAAATCAAACCGGGGCCTTTTTCTACGTGGGCCCAGGGTTCCATCCAGGAGGCCAACTGGGTAGTATATAGGATTCTTTTAAAAAAAACATATTTTTGTTGATTTCAGAGAGGAAGGGAAAGGGAGAAAGAGATAGAAACAGCACGCCCCCTACTGGGGATGGAGCCCACAACCCGGGCCTGTGCCCTGACCGGGAATTGAACTGTAACCTCCTGGTTCATAGGTTGATGCTCCACCACTGAGCCAGGCCAGCTGGGCCAGAAGGTCCTTTCTTTTTAAGGCTGAACAGTATGATACGTATATACCATCTTTTGTTTACCCACTTATTTGTCTACTAAAGGAGGCTTTCAACGAGAGAAAATTTGTAAGGAGACGTCATGGGTTGAGAAAACAGTGAAATCACAGAGGTTCTGAGATAAGAAACCTGGACTGGCTCATTAAGTATCGAGGCTCATAATGGCTGATGCCCGGGGTTCCAGGAGAATCCTCAGATGGTCTGGGGTCAGATCGTGGAGGTCACCAGGTGCTATGTTAAGGACCAGGAATTGGATTATATTAGACCATGGGGAGCCATGCTAAGCAGTGAGATGGATAAAAAGAAAGCTATGCTTTATTCAACTCATTTTCATTTTTTTCTCCAGAAAGCTTTGATATTCAAGGTTCCCTGAAAGAATGAAAATTTGGAAATGTTGGTAGTTGCCCAGAGTGCTAAGGGAGCTGGTATTTTTCCTGTAAGTTGGTTGAGAGGGTGGTAAAATGAACTTTGAGTTTGCAGTGTTGGCTGAATAAGAGAGAGAAGAAAATCGCATCATCAGTGGCGCTGCAGAGCCGAACAAGCTGCAGCCGGGCTGGGTTTATCCAACTGCTCCAGCTTGTGCCCAGTTTTGAATTGACTTCTTATTGCACAAAGGGAGGTGGACGCTCCGCCTAGTAGGAGGCTCTGATGCCCCTCCCTCCTTCTCTCCTCTAGCTTCTTGAGTTAAAGCATGTTGGACTAAGGTAGAGACCATCCTGCATTCGTCATGACATTTCACCTTTCATTCCCAGGTACTTACTGAGCCTCTGTTATTTGCTAAGCCCTACGCTAGGCTCTGTGGAATATTGACAAATATGCAAAACAGCGTTCTATGTTCTATTAATTTGCAATCTGGACAGAGGTGTGCATATAGCCAGTGAACATAACAATACAACTAGGCCACATCACAGTAGAGAAATAAGTGATATGGAAACACAGCCAGCCAAATATATAGCAATAATGGTAACATTGGGAGCTTACCGTTACTAATAGCTGCCGTGGCGTGGAGCTCTGAAGACGCAATGAACTGGGCTGTGGCCCGGTCAGCACCCGGCAACGGGTGGTTTAGGTGCACGGAGCTGACTTCAGGAAGCTGCTTGCTGTGCTCGGTAGCAGGCGATTTTCCTCCGGCTGCTTGTCGAGCGCTGCTGTGCTGTAGTGTTCGTTCTGGTGAACTGGATTTTTTCACCCTCTAAATACAGTCTTTTGATGATCAGATAATATTTCCATTGATGTATTCTTTCTAAGGCATTTTTAAGTACCCTTATCATTGTTTGCATGTATTTAATCAGAATGTAACGTGTGTTTTGTGGGCCGACCACATGCCAGGTACTGTGGGAGGGCTTTATGTGCATTTTAAAATCTTTTTGTGACACCGTGAAGGAAAAACAAACAAAAAAAAAAAGAAATCTGTTTTATAGAAAAGGAAACTGGGAACTGGAGAAATTAAGTAACTCACCCAGGATCGCAGTCGGGTCTGACTCCATTGCCCATGGCCTTGCTGGGACGCACATATAAATGGCTCTGAAAGAGCTGAGGGATGCTTATGCAATCCTGCCCTTCCTGACCAACCCACGTGTGTTCCTCATTTTAGGGGATCCCAACAAGCCCTCGGGATTCAGAAGTGTGAAAGCTCCGGTCACCAAAGTGGCTGCATCGATTGGAAATGCCCAGAAGTTGCCCATGTGTGACAAATGCGGCACCGGCATCGTGTGAGTATCTGCCTTCCCCGGGCATTGGGGGCCCTACACGTTGAGTAAACCATGACAGTGAGGAGAGTGCTGAATATTGCACATGCTGGGTGTGATGGGAAGAAAAGAAACCCCACCTGGAATACGGAGCAGAGCGGCCAGGTAGGTTCTGTGCCCCGGAGCCAGGTGCCGATTTCCTCGGCAGAGAACCCTTAGGGTACGAACATATAAAACCAGAAGAAGCCCTGGCTGGTTTGGCTCAGTGGATAGAGTGTTGGCCTGCAGATTGAAGGTTCCCAGGTTCAGTTCTGGTCAAGGGCACATGCCCAGGTTGCAGGCTTGATCCCCAGGAGGGGGCGTGCAGGCAGCAGCTGATCAATGATCATCTTTCATCATTGATGTTTCTATCTCTCTCTCTCCCTCTCTGATCTAATCTGAAATCAATAAAAATATATTTAAAAACAAAACAAAACAAAAACAGAAGAAGTGGGGCCACGCTATTGACATGGGAGAGACTTCTGGAAGGTTTCAAGAGTAAAGTCTCTGGACCCCAGGAAAGGGGGGCCTGATCTGCCTTTTGATGAGCCTTTTGGGGGAGCCCCTGGCCCTGGTCCACCTTCCTGTGCTTGTCACTAACGGAGCCGCTTCCTCCCTGCCTCCCGCAGCGGCGTGTTCGTGAAGCTGCGGGACCACCACCGCCACCCTGAGTGTTATGTGTGCACCGACTGCGGCACAAACCTGAAGCAGAAGGGCCATTTCTTTGTGGAAGATCAAATCTACTGTGAAAAGCACGCCCGGGAGCGGGTCACCCCACCGGAAGGCTACGACGTGGTCACTGTGTTCCCCAAGTGAGCCAGCAGATCTGCACCGAACACTACTCTCCCACTAGCCCTGTCGCGCCTCGTCCCTGCCCCGCCCTGTCCTCTCTCGGAGGTCCCTGCTCCCTGTGGTTTGATCCCTGCTCATAAACGTGGCGTCCCCGCCTGTGCTAACTGGCTCCCACTGCCCTGTGATGCTGCCTCTATAGTGCGCGGAAGAGCGTTTTGTTCCGTGTCCCCTGCCAGCATCCTCTCTTCACCTCAGTTCGTCTGCTGCACACGGACAGCAGCCCAATCAGAAGCAAACCGAACGGACTGTGTCTGCCGTTGGTTTTGTTTTTACTCAATAAATGTATGGACTCTAAGGCAGTATGGTGTCCTTTCTCGCTTGGTCAAGCTTTGACTGGGAGCACTCTTCTTCCATTTCTCGGTTTAGGTAACATCAGTAGTCTTTCAAGATTAAGCCCCAGCACCCCCCCTCTAGACAGGCTTCTCTGATGCCCACCAGGCCTAGGAGGCTGCTCGGCCGTGCCCCGTACCCAGGGCGCTCCTCTCTGGCACACACCACACGGGACACTAACCACTCGTCTCCTGAAAGGCATGAAGCCCCCTAAGCGCTGACCCTCGGCCTTTTTCAGCTTTGACTGTTCAGTGCTGAGCAGGGAGATTGTCCACAAATGTTTGGTGAATTACCCATGAAGGAATGCTCTGTCACTGTTCAATAGAAATGGGATACAAGCCACGGACGTAATTTAAACTTTCTAGTAGTCACATTGGGAAAAAAGGCAGGTAAAATTAATTTTGATATGTTTTTTAGTGCTCTATATCCAAAGTACTATCATTTCAGCATGTGCCACTAGCTGCTGTACTGGACAACATCGCCTTAACCTTAAGCAAAGACATCTTGGATTTCTGCTTCCCCTCCAGGCACCACGTTCTTCTTCCTTGTTCCCACGGTCTACCATGTCTCTCCTAACTGCCTTGGCCTCGGGCCTCCAGCTCTGCCCTCCTCCGCTAGGACTGCGGTTTTGAAGGCGCCTTTGGATTTCTCCAGCCAAACCCAAGGACCTATTCTTGGTCCTTCTCCATCTCACACACTCAGAGGCACTTCCATGGCTGCTCACCTAGGGCTTGCTTTGCATGATTCTGAACTTCCTTGGGCACTTGCTGCTTCTCCTGGCTGCTGGGTCTCTAGTTGTCTCCCTGCCGAAGTCAGGGACGACTCCCGTCAGGTGACGCTTTCCTTTGACCGCGTATAAAGCAACATGACTGAAGCTTCAGGAAATCAAAGCAACAGGCCTTGAAAAGGATTTTCTTCTCCACCTTTATTCTCTGTTGACACTAAGGCTGAGCATTGTTTAAGTTTGACCTGCACGATGCTCCCCTTGGCTGCTGGATTTTCCCCCAGACGTCTGAGCTGTTCCGAGTTTCCCCACATTGAAGGGGTTCAGGAATGTGGGAACAGTGGGGTGATGGCCTAAAGGGGGAGAGGAAAGAGTATTTTTTAGACCCAGAGTTTTTAAAGGCTATTTGCAAAAATTAAACGTTCTCTTCCCTTGTGGACACACATCTAATTTGGGAGGATAAATTAGAGTCCTAATAATCTTTTGCTTTAGGAATAATGATTAGGATCTATTCCGTTTTCCCCATTGCCCTTGGCCTTCACCCCAAATCACCGCAGGGATGAGATATGTGGGCTCAAACCAAATCAAGCTCTTTCCTCCCACCTCTAGGCTGTGCTCACTGTGTTACAGCACCGCCTGACCCTCACCCCAGTCCCTGAACAGGAGCCTCCGATTGCACGTAGGGCAGGGCACCCTTCTCAGACTCCAGGATTTCCTGCAAAAGCAGGAATGAAGTGGACTACAGCGTCTTGTAAACCTCCGATTCTTTGCCTAGGCCAAGGCTGCTGGAGGCTGAGAAGGCTTTAAGCTATAAAGAATGTGAGAGCCCTAACCGCTTTGGCTCAGTGGGTAGAAAGTCGGCCCTTGGACTGAAGGGTCCTGGTTTCAATTCTGGTCAAGGGCATGTACCTCAGCTGCAGGCTCGATCCCTGGCCCTGGTCAGTGTGCATATGGAGGTAACCAATCAATGTGTCTCACTCACATCAATGTTTCTCTCTCTGTCTCTCCTCCTCCCTTCCGCTAAAAATCAATGGAAAAATGTCCTCAGGTGAGGATTAACAACAAAACACAAAACGAAACAAAAGCACACTGGCCTTGGAGTCAGACCGAACCCACTTAACTGCTGTATACCTCAGCCCAATTCCTGAGTCTCAGGTTCCTACCTGTAAATGGAAACATGAACACCTACCTCACAGGATCATAGAAGGACTTTGACAAGCTTCTGGACGTGTGATGCTTACATTTTATTACATGTTAATGTGCATGGGACTCCTCTGCAGACTGTGATGATGCAGATTCGGATTCAGCATCAGGTCTACGTGAGGCCTGAGGTTCTGCATTTGCGTCAAGCTCCCAAGTGATGCCGTGCTTCTGGTCTGTGCATCACATGTTGGAGGCAAGTTTTCTAGAACACCGACTTTGCCACAACTCAGGGGCAGTTAGGCTACAATCTTGCAATTCAGCTACCAGTAGGGAATATATACCACAGTCTATTTTTTAATTCAAGTATAATTATGTACAATAAAATTCATAAGTTTTTTTTTAGTTTTGATTATTGTGTCTACCTCGATCAAGATAGAGAACATTCCGCCCTGGCCAGTGTGGCTCAGTTGGTTGGGTATTGTCCTCTTGCACCAAGAGGTTGTCGGTTCCATTCTTGGTCGGGTTTGGGGCTTGATCCCCAGGAGGGGGTGTGCAGGAGGCAATCGATCAATGTTTCCCTCTCACATTGATGTTTCTCTCCCTTCCTCTCTCTAAAAATCAATTTTAAAATCTCTTTTAAAAGATATAGAACATTTCCATCATCTCATAATAACCTTTGCTTATGTCCCTTCCCAGCCAATATCCTCCCAACCCTGACCCCACTCCAGGGTAACGCACCGCAGGGTAAACACAAGGTCTCCCAGCTGGCCTTCCCCGGCCTCTAGTGGCTCCCCTCCTTCCTTCATCAGGGTTGCAGCATTGAAGGTGCTGGTATACAGGAGGCACTGGAATAACATGGAAAGCTCTGTGGTGGGCCTTGCAGGTTGCCTTCCAAACATCACTTCTTCGTCAGACTCAAGTATAACACCCTCCCAGCCCCAGTCAGCCTTATAAAAGTTTAAACAATGTCATGAAGATATAATGTTTTTAATGCATTTTTATAATCAGTTACAGGGCGCTGTTTTCTTATAGAATAATTGTGTGGCCCTAACCGGTGTAGCTCAGTGGATAGAGCGTCGGCCTGCAGACTGAGGGTCCCAGGTTCGATTCCAGTCAAGGGCATGTACCTTGGTTGCGGGCACATCTCCGGAAGGAGGTGTGCGGGAGGCAGCTGATCGATGTTTCTCTCTCATTGTTGTTTCTAACTCTCTATCCCTCTCCCTTCCTCTCTGTAAAAAATCAATAAAATATATTTAAAAAAACAACAAAAAAACAACAAAGAATAATTGTGTGTTAGCTGAGAGTATTTTATGTGGAAATTATTGAAAGGACAGCACTTCATCCCTTTGGAGCATAAAAAAGCATATGTACAAGATGCACTTGCCACCTAGTAAGATTCTATTTGTATGAGCAGACATGCACTAGCTTGTGTCTCCCTGGGCCCAGACCTGTGATGATTTTGTGCCATCAGACCGATTATAGCACCGTTTAATGGGTTTAGTTGTCATGGTACCTGTTAGAGCAAATCTTATTAACTGTGGTTTCTCTTTAAAAACAAAAATAACAGATTTCTTTAATTTCTCACTAATTATTTTTTGTATATATTTTAAGGATAGATATACCAGGAAACAGTTATAAATGTATATTTAATATCAGGCTATAAATGTATACTTAACCATGACTGCTTATCTTAAAACAAATTCAAATTGGAACCTGGCCAGTGTGGCTCAGTGGTTGTGCGTTGACTTATGAACCAGGAGGTTACAGTTCGATTCTCAGTCAGAGCACATGCCTGGGTTGCAGGCTCGATTCCCTGGAGGGGGGCATGCAGGAGGCAACTTATCAATGCTTTTCTCTTATCATTAATGCTTCTATCTCTCCCTTTCCCTTACTCTCTGAAATCAATAAAAATACATTTTAAAAAATTGTAATTGGATGCTGGGTTAAAACTCTGGTGGTAATGATTTAACCCCCACTGCCAGCTCTAACGACTTATATATTGTGTTTTCCCAGGAAGGGCCTGGACTCGACTCACACAATGGCTCTGATTATTGTCTTGCTTTCCAAATTGCCCCTTCACTTTCTTTTTCCTTCTTTTGGCTCCTTCTTCAGTCTAAATGAGTGAAGGGATAGGGTGAAAGTCAGTTTTAGCCTGACTATCATAATAGTCTTGCTTTACAAGTGCACGCCTCCAAAAGAAACTTTCTCATTCTTTATAAATTTGTTTATAAGATGAAGGAGTTGAGCTGAATTATGGTTGAATTTTAAAACATGCAAACTCCCTGTGTTCTGGTCATGGCAGTACCCTAAAATTCCACAAGATGGCGTGCCTTCCCCTATGAAAACAGAACTTTGGGCCTGAAATTCGATTGGGGTTTTTTTTTCTTCATTGAAACAAGACCTTTTCTTCCTCCTTCTTTCCTTACCTATACTTGTAGTTTGAAAACAAAACATCATCTTTTACTTTTTTTGAAAATAAAAGAGTCAGAGTAATTATAAACTTGCTTTGAGTAATTTCTACTCATTTTTCTTAGCTTTTCTTCTAAAGCAATATGGACAGTTTCTTTCTGACTTGTAATCTTTCAGATATCTGACCTCATCTTCTCTCTCTCTTTGCTCTTCTCCTCCTAGGACCTACACTCAGGTATTTCATCTTCTCAATATATAAAAGCATCTCCCCTGGGTTTTTTTATTTGTTTGTTTGTTTGGTTGGTTGGTATTGTGTGTGTGTGTGTGTGTGTGTGTTTTAGAGGAAGGGATAGGGAGAGATAGAAACATCAATGGTGAAAGAGAATCATTGATCGGCTGCCTCCTGCATGCCTCCACCCCCCACTAGGATCGAGCCCACAACCCGGGCATATGCCCTGACTGGGAATTGAACCATGACGCTCAACCACTGAGCCATGCTGGCTGGGCATTGGTGCAGCTCTTGCTGATATAATGGCCAACAGGAATCAGAAACCTGAAGTTAGGAAGGCTCAACGAGAACAAACTATCGAGGCTGCCAAGGTAGCCAGAAAGGCTAAGCAAGCATCTGAGAAGTGGCTGCTACTAAGGCTCCCAAAAAGGCAGCACCTAAGTAAAAGATCGTGAGCCTCTGAG